TCACACGCAACAGCCCAAAGCTGAGACGGCTGCCGTGTGGACGCACATCCGTATAGCTGCTTCGACACCATCACCGTCGCTCTTGAGGTCATCACGCGCAAAGCGATGCACCATGCTCGCAAGGAAGTTCCTGAAGGGCACTGCGCTTCGTGTTATGACTTTGAAAACAGATGCGACTACCATCCTGGTGTTGGCCTACCCTTCTTCCCAGTCGGGCCAGCTGTCAGCCTTCACACCCGCACAAAGACCCACTACTGTGCCCCACTGTTCTCTTGATCTCTCACTTGTCTCCTGTCTTCCGTCGTTCCGAGGCAGGCTTTGCTGTTTACGTCGTTGTCGACGGCCTCGCTTGTTTCCATGTTGATGTCCGTCATGATCCTGGCGCGTGCGGGAAAATGAAAGGATCCTGAGACACTACCCCTCAAGCCTGGATTCTCTGAAACACCTCCCCGAATTCAAGCGGAAGGCTGGAAACTGCTTTTGCTTCACCTCATTGGGGCGGCCTGAGAATCTGCCCAGAACTTGATGATCTCTTTGGACAAGCCCACAAAACAAGGGACCAAAAGAAAACGCAAAAGAAAGTGCAAGAGAGCTCTCCCAAGCAACCTCGGAGCCCCCCAGGAGACTGCCTGCTACTCAGGTCGAGGAGGAGCTTGCGCACCCCCCTGTCCGGATCTTTTGCTTTCTCTTTGTCAGAGCCCGAGTCATCGGAATCTGTGCCTTGGAGACGCATGCCGGAGTATGTCCGGTATGAGGGCCTAGCCTTGCAGACACGTCCTTTCAGTGCTATGCTACCCCCGTGCAAGCATGGTGTCAGCCTTTACTCTGCCTCTTCTTTTGTCTGCCGGGGGCCAGTTTCTTCGTTCATTCTGGACATGCATTCGTTTTGCGGGAGTTGACGAGGGGAGGGGAGGGAGGGGAGGGGAGGCGAGGGGAGATGGGAGGACTTGTGGATGGGTTCCGGGAAGAGCACAAAGTATCGTGTGCTCGGTTTGTGGATGTGGGTCGGGGGGCATGTTGCTGTGTGGAAGGAGGTTTTTTTCAAAGCAAAGATGTTTATGGCCCTGGCCATCCCTGGCCATCCCTGGCCTCTCACGTTCAGACTTATGGTAGCCTTGAAGTGTTTGCAGTAGCGGCGGTGTTTAGTGCTGACTTCCGCAAGGCCCGCAGCTCCGCTCAGCATGCAGCTGGAGGGCTGAGAGCGGTATAAGTTTTCACCTCAGGGGCCAAGCGTGGGCTTAGTTGGGCTAGGACAGCTAGGATTTGGGATCAGCTGTCCACATTTCCGTGCAGCTCAAGCCTGAACTGCACGTTCTGGTGATCGAGGAGGCGGGGGCGGCGCATCATCGTCAGATACATTCTCATCGCCGTCATCCTGGTCCTAGGTGGATGGAGTACCAGACAGTGGAACGGCATTGTAAAGCAGAAAGTATGCCAAAATTGTGCCGATGGCAACCCTGATCACCAGACAACTCCATGGTATCAGCATATAGAGCGGAGCATACATAATAGTTCAGTGCCAGAAGGCATCCACGGCATCCGCCATCGTTGGGCGAAAACGTGGCTGCAGGGCGCTGTGAATTATATCATGGCGAGAGCAACGAGGATTTCACTACATAATTCACATGTCGACACTCTGTCTGGTGACTGGGCCTCCTGGAGAGCTTTTTGGCTTCTTGTGGGGTGTACATGTGCTCACCGTCACTGCTGTTTGCAGTCATGACCTGTTGAAGCAGGTTCTGAAAGCTCTGCTTGCGAATGCCGCTGCCTGCTTGCAGCTATCAAACAGAGCCTTTCGGGGCATGCAATGGCACCTTTTGGATGCTGGGTGTCACAGGCATCATCCATTCGAGTTGCCTCCAAGCCAATTTTGCTGCGCAGTGTCAAGGCACATCCAAAGGTCGGTTCCATCAGCATTCACATGTTGCGATGCTTTTGTGCGCTTGCTTGAAGTTTCGCATACATCGGACAACGATGTCGTGCACTGGGTTACCCAATTACGGATGCCCCGACGCGACATGGCAGGCATGAAATGAAATAGCTGTGGCATGAAATGAAATGGCTGTGCATATCTGTGCTGTCAGTTGGTGCAGTGCCACGCAGTGCCAAGCAGTGGCAGCCCTCCAGGGCTGCCTCAGGCGGGTCCGTCGCACACACGGGATCGCATGCCACGCACACACTCTAGCAGCTTCAGCATGCACAGCTTGAACCTGCATTGCGACAGGTCGGACACTCTGAGTTTTCCATACGGACAACAAGTGTCGACATGGCATGACGTTCCCATCTACGGACCCTCTTAGTGGCAGCGGACGCTCAACGCTGGTGACAAACAGGGTGGCTCGTCCCAGAGCGAAGGAATTTGTTTTTCTTAGTGTGTGCGTGTGTGTGTGGGGGGGGGGTTTTCAACAGCGCCAGACCGGCTCACATGTCCCTTGGGAAACTTTTAAGTCAGAGGAGGAAGCGCTCTCAGGAATCATCCGTCTTCCAGTTCTGGAGCCTCGGGACTCTTCACCTCATGACTCACGTTCACCCCTCGAGTCAACAGCAGAGGTGGAAGCCAAGGTTCATCGCGCTCCCTCTCGCTCTCTCTGGGCATGAGGAGCCCCGAGGCCCCGAGGCACCCCCCGCACACAGAACGCGCCTGCGAGCCAGCGTCATCTCACGGAGAACCCGTGACACTGACCCCCTTTTTCCCCCCTTCCCCTTGGACAGAACACGAAAGACGAGCTGCACGCTTTGACCCTTAGACCTTCTTTGACTTCAGCTGGGCTTTTCCCTGTCCCTTAACGCTCGGCCCGGCCCCACCCTATAGGATCACATTCGGCTCCAGGCGGGTTTATGGAGATACCGGCCGGAGATTGCCTAGACTACGGTGTAACTCTCTTTCTTTTGTTGGGGCATTACGGGCCGGGGGCAACTCCGATCAGCCCTTGCAACTAGCAAGTTCCTCTGGCTCCTAGTTGTGTCACCGCAGGAAAGAAGGTGAAACCCTTTCCGGCACTCTCCTTCTATTGGGTGGCTCGCTCCCCTCACTTTCACCTCCGCCTGACACCGATAAGCCTTGCAAGCAAACCCTGCCTGGCTTCAACACTCTAGCGCCTGTACCGCCTGCGAGCCCCCTCATGCCCTGCAGTGCTGGTTTGGAAGCAGTATGCCCATAGACCTCGGTGTAACTACATTGTTCTTCGGTAGGGTATGAGGGAGGAAGACTGAGGAAGATTGCCCCTTCCGCGCGCATGGCGCACTCAAGTCCGTCCGGAACAAAGTGCAACCAATCGAAAGTGACCCGGGAGGAAACGGCCTCAAACATTTGTACTTCAAAAATCCCCACCCTGCATGCAGGAATTTGCGCTCGAGGGATTCTCTGGGATTCTCTGGCGTTGGGCACTCCAAGGATTCTTCGGGGGGCGCTCCAGGGATTCTGTGGGGATACTCTGAGGGCTGGGCACTCTTGGCCTAGGGTTCTTTGGTGATGCTCTGGGTTGGGCACTCCAGGAATTCTCTGGGGATACTCTGCCTAGGTTTTCGTGACCTCACATGAGACTGACTGGCACTGCAATGAGGGAGGACATACAGAAAGACAATCTAGCCTCAAACATACCATCCCTCAAAAACACGAGAGCAGGGTTAGCGTGTGGAGATGTGTGAGGCGCCCAACTCGAGCTTCAAAGGGCGGCGATGAACCAGTGAAGCAATGCATTGCGCGGAGGCTACGTAGCATTTGGGGTCCAGATGCAGCTGAAGAAACAGTGGGTCCACTGTCTCCGAGGTGCGTGTTCTTGGTTTGATGCTTCAAATGCTGTGCCAAGTTTGAGCAAGAACCAAAGCACTTTTTTCAGGGCTCTCCATCCAGTCCACATCCAATGAGCACAGCGTCGTCAAGCTTGTCTGACGATGACTGCAAAAAGAGTTTGTCGGGTGCCGTGTGCCACGGCTGGACAAGCAATTTCGCTCTCAGCGATGTTTGTAGCGCAAATATGCCACCTATGTAGCATTGGAACCATTAAGGGGATATGAGCTGCTGTCTCACGAGATTCCCCCCCCCCCCCCGACCCACGAGCTTGCATGAGCTGCCACGTGGAAGGTGTAGACGGTATTAGAAGGCATGTAAATCAACCACACGAGATGCTCGAAGGTTGGTGAGCACATTCCTCGAAACTCTGGCAAATTCAAAAAGCCACGTATACTGATGTGTGGCATCCGCAATGGGCCCGGTCAGGCACCTGTCCGGCACAAGCCCATTGTTAAGCCCATTGTTAAGCCTATTCAATCGTGATCAATGCAGATTCGACTTTCAACCGTCTTCACCACCGGCCATCTGCTTACGCATGGCTGCTACCTTCAACCGGACAGCACCAGCCTGCCACGGAGACATCAGCGAGACTGCTCCACCACGATACCTGGCAGTCCCAGGCAGGATGCGGCTCAGATCTTAAGCAAACATAGCAGAGAGCCATGGCACAAGCGATGTGGCCAAGGCGGGATAGGACCTTAGAGCCTTAGCGAGTATCTCATGATGCCTCCACGGTTCCGGAGAGAGTCCAGAAGCACGCTGTCCTCAACTCGTCAGATCTTAGCGTGACTTCGAAGGACTTTCTTCATGGAGTGGGCTATGCACAGACATCCTGCATCGAATCGAATCGAACCCATCCGTCCTTCTCCTTGCGCTCCTGCAAGGACCGCGGCCTGCAGTGCGAGTCCAAAGCCTGGCAAATGTTGAAACTAGTCCAGATGGCAGCACCATGCAAATGTCCTGGGAAGCTCTGGCACACACAGACAAACACTCAAACAAACACACACACACACACACATACACACACACAAATTGCTTTGTAAATCGGGTGGGGGGCAGGGCCATCGGGAGCCTTTGCTGCCGAGCCCAACATCGACTGTCCCCAGTGGACCATCGAGGCTCCGAGAGCCGCTGTCTTCACCACCAAGTCCTCCACACAAGGCACGGAAGGATTACATGGGCTCGGAGAGAACAGTGAGTTCAATTCAGTTCAAGCGACTCTTAAAGCCTTTAAGCTCACCCCCTGGAGTCCTCTCTTTCTACTTTCATCTCGAGTCTAAGTCTGAGTGTGGCAGTCTTCTCTCTTTGACTCCCATCGCTCGCTTCAAAATCAGCGCGGCGTTCTCTATGTTCTCGTCTTCGGTAGGAATGTTCTCAGGGGTGCATGTGGGCGCAGTCTTCATGCAACGAAAAGCGCTTCGCTTCAACTTCGAAGGCGTCGCTTCGAACAGCGCCAGTATGCGCAGGCACTCGACTGACTGAGGAGCCTTCCCTCCTCCGCCCTGCCTTGGAGCGAACTGGAAGCGTAGCTCTCTCGCTACGCGTTTCACACGCATCCATCGGACTCCGGACAGCGCGGGCTACGCTTGTGGGGGGAGGGTGACGAAAGAAGCTCAAGCAACGAAAAAAAAAAAAACAACGAACAAAAGCGGAGAACAGAAGCGCACATTCGTACGGGGGCGCTTTGTTTTTTGACGGTGTGCATGCTAAGGATAGCGAGCAAAAGAGGAGGCTTGACATGGCTGTTTTTTAGTAATAAGATGTCAATGACGTCTTTTCTCTCTGAGGTTTTTTTGTGAAGTCTCCTCTCCCTGATTTTTCTGAGTCTTAGGTGGGCCGTCTGAGGCGCTTGGGGCGGGGTTTTGTCCTCCCACTCTCAGACCATATTGCATATACTGGTCTATATTGTTCTGTGCGTTTCCGAGCCGCTGCCCCGGAACTCTTCGGAGACCCGCCATGCTGTCTGTCAGAGGACCCAGGTCCTGTCTCTGCATGACTGTACGATTTCGTGCTCATTCTAAGTCCTCAATGCCTTGTCCTTAAGTACTTGCTAGCTGCTAGATGCAAATGTGGCTCTGGAGGGTCGTTTGCTAGCTGCTAGGTGTCTCGTTGTACCTCAGTTCCGAGAGGGAACCGTTCCACACTTTGCTCTGGCATGCTCAGAAGCGGTTCAGACGGGAGATCCCTCAACTCGTCAACATTCGTAAACCCTGAATACCCACAGCCTTGCTCAGCTGTAGGCTTGCTGACGTTTGTTGCTTTGTGCTTTGCTTTGGACTGCCCCAAGATGTGACTCAAAGCAGCCACGTACTCCGAGTGCAAGGGGAAACCTCCATTCAAGGACCCCCATCCAAAGACAGGCCAGATTCCAGTAAATGGTCTCTACCCTGACAAATTCAACCGCCGGAACCGCCCTCCCCCCCACCCACCCACCCACCCCAAAAAAAAAACGAAGCGCCAGAAGGGGCTTGGGTTGGGCAGCCCGGCCTGCGTACCCTCTCTTGCTGCATTGGCCAAGCGTGTCACAGGACTCCCCTGCAGAGGCTGCGATCACAGCATCAAGTTTCAGTTCCTGACTGTCGTCATGTGACTGCTAGACTGCTAGATCCTCCTGAAAACTCGACGTCTGCCTGCTCTGAGAGCAATGGGCTTTCAACTTCCCAAAGCTGCACGGCCACCTTGGAAAGGAGCACACAGCCGAAGGACGTTGGTGTCAGAGAAGCCATGCATTCTGACCACACAAAGATGCACGA